GATTTTTTTTTCTTGCTGTTGTTTTAAATTATAACAAAAATAGCAAAGCTATTATAAAAATTAGGATAAATGTCCATTGGTGTGCATAGAACAGACAGCTGGAATGTACACAAATATAGGATAGACAGATAAGAAATCTGAAGAAAAATAATCTGATCAGTTGATCAGTACAGCTTACTTTCTATAGCATCTTGCCCTAATATCTTGTTTTGTCTGAAATTTTTATATCTAATGCAATTTTAGTCAGCTATTTAGTATTTGTTAGTTCACCCATTTTTACATCAGTATAACTATGATGTGCTATATCTTGAGATTCTAAATAAATTCTATGTTTTGTTTCTTTTTCCCCTTTGGCTTGATGAATTTCATTTATTTATTTATTTATATGTTCTAATTAGTTATACAATAGTTGATGATTACTACTGAGTAGTTCCTTGATAGCCATACAGCTGGCTTCTAGACCTCTGATAACAGGCCCCAAATTAATAAGTAGATTATATTATAAATCACTACAAGACTGACATCTCAAAAGTACTTTTGAGTAAAAAGTACTTTTTTATGTACTTTTATGGATATAAAAGACTCTTTTATGTCCAAGATTGATGACAGTAATGCCAAGGTAACTTTAAGTTATACTTAAATATTACCCCTAATGATTTCTTAATCCTCTGATGATTAGATTTCTTTCTTTTTCTTTTCTTTTGGTACAGGGGATTAATCCCAGAGTTTTGCCCATGCCAGGCAAGCATTCTACCACTGAGCTACATGCCCAACTCCTTTTACATTTTATTTTGAGACAAGGTCTAAGTTGCCCAGGGTGGCTTTGAATTTGCCATCCTCCTGCCTCAGCCTTCAGAGTTGCTGGGATTATAGGAATGGGCCACTGTGCCCCTGAGTGAGGGTGAGATTTTTTTACCTATTGCACTTTCTCAAAGGTCTGAACAGAGTCTAGACTCTTTCCCTCTCCAAAATCTTAGGAGAAACAGAAAGAGGTCTGAGCATCATTAAGCACTTTAACATATGGGAGGATTGTATATTGCCCAACTCTAGGGGTACCACTCATTATTTATTTGTAGAAATATTTTTTTTTTGTTTGTCTGAGGTGGTGTTTTTACTTTTGCCTATAAATTATCTTGAGGAAATGGAAACTTTTCCTAATTCCCACAAGGTCTTCTTTGGATAAGCTGTAGGGGAGCCTGTAGACTCTTTTATGTCCAAGATTGCTGACAGTAATGACATTTTTTTAAAAAAATAATTTTTTTAGTTGTAGACAGATACAATACCTTCATTTATTTTTATGTGGTACTGAGGATTGAACCCAGAACTTCACATGCTTTAGGCAAGTGCTCTACCACTGAGCCATAACCCCAGCCTAGACATTTTTTTTTTTCTAATTTGGGATACTGAGAGGAGGTGGTCTTCTTCTGTCATAAATGGTTATTACATGTGGTAAACATTCAAATAGACCTATGTTACAACCTATATAAATTGTCCTGTGGAAATAGAACATCTAAAGCCTTACTGTATTACGTCATCTCAGTAGCAATTTTGAAACCTGTTTGTTTATAGAAAACAGAAAAATTATAATACGGTGAGTGGACTGGGCAGGGTGGTATATGCCTGTAATTCCAGCAACCTGGGAGACTGAGGCAGGATGATTCCAAGTTCAAAGCCAGCCTCAGCAACTTAGTGAGGCCCTAAGCAACTTAATGAGACCCTGTCTCTAAACAAGAAATAAGAAGGGCTGGGATATGGCTCAGTGGTTAAGTACCTCTGGATTTACTCCCTGGTATCAAACCAAACCAAACCAAACCAACCAACAAACAAAAAAAACCCAAAATATGGTGAATGGCCAAGAAAGCCATGGCTTGTTTCCAAAGATCTCTGGAATATTGGGATTCTAGTTGTAGATAACTAAATGAAATAGAGAAGGTTGGAAGTACAAATAAAAAAACAGTTCAATTTTGAATGTGGTAATTTGAAGTTCCATGATTATCACGTGGAAATGTCCAAGAGGCAGGTGACTACAAAACCAAATGAAGCTTGGAGGAGAGATATGGGCTGGATAAAATCTCTTTGCAATCCATAGGTGGATGAGATCATGCTAGAAGAGCAAGTAGAGCAAGAAGAGAAGCAGAAAAGTGGGCCAAGTGTAGAACCCTGAGCATCTTCTATATTGAAGAGACATAAGGAGGAAGAAACAGAGGTAGGAGGAGAGCCCAGGGAAGAAGCTGTTAGGAGAGCCAAGGGAGTCAACATTCTAATGTGAGAAAGGAGAAATGTGTAGCATCAAGTGCAGCAGAGGGATCCACTGAGGCTAAGAAAAGGGAGGAATGATGTAATTCATGTACACTTAGAAAAAACCCACAACAATTTGGAGGTTTTGGGTGACCCGAATGAGATCAGTCTCTATGGAATGTTATGGGTAGGGCCAGATGGGTTCTTAAAAAAAAAAAAAAAAATATATATATATATATATATATATATATACACACACACACACACACATATATATTTTAGTTATTGATGGATCTTTATTTTATCATTTATTTACATGTGGTGCTGAGACTTGAACGAACCCAGTGCCTCACACATGCTAGGCAAGTGCTGTACCACTGAGCCACAACCCCAGCCTCAGATGGGTTCTTAACCTCCCAAAATGACTCACAAGAATCTATAGAAAACCTGTAATACTAGTTTAGGATAGCCCAGTGACCCCCACTAATCTGTATCTAGAAAAGCTCTGAAGGATCCAAGAGGATGCAAAGTACAAACTAGGCTTAGCAATGCCTTGAGTGAATGGCAGGTGACACAAAGATGAACAGAATTGAGAAACCATTAAGATTACAATAACAGGACTCACATAAACTCCCATTTTAAAGTTTGTTTTCAAACAATAAGCTACTCAGATTCAAGACAGGAGAGATTTAGTTTGGCAACAAATGCTTAAGAATGATCCAGAGAATTTAGTTGATTATAAACTTTAAGTGGGCCAAGAGTATGACACATTTTCTCAAAAAGTTAGCACAGATGTGGGCTATAACAGAGAAGAGAAAGTTGAGGCACTAGGGAAGTATTAGTTCCTTTTTCTGGAAATAAGGATGAACAAGAAAGGAGGAATACAAAACAACAATTAAAAGTTTATTAGAGGGGCTGGGGATGTGGCTCAAGTGATAGCGCGCTGCATGCGTGTGGCCCGGGTTCGATCCTCTGCACCACATACAAACAAAGATGTTGTGTCCACCAAAAACTAGAAAAAAATATATATATATTAAAAAATTCTCTCTCTCTCTCACTCTCTCTTTAAAAAAAAGAGCTTAAAAAAAGTTTATTAGAAAAAAGTGAGATTTGAATATGTTTATAGGCTAAGGGGAAGGCTTTACTAGGAAAAGGACAAGGTAAAGAATAGGAGAGAGGGGCTGGGGTTGTGACTCAGTGGTAGGGCGCTTGCCTAGCATGCATGAAGCACCAGGTTTGATCCCCAGCACCACCTAAATCAATCAATCAATCAATCAATTAAATAAAGATACTATGTCCATCTACAACTAAAAAAATATTAAAACAACAACAACAACAAAAGAATACTGGAGAGAAGGGATAATTAATGATACAAGAGTCTGAAGAAGCTGGGAGGAGTTGGTTTTGAACTGGTTTGAGGATGCCTCATTCTTGGAGAGGCTAGAAGGAAGCTGAAAAGATGGGAGTGACCGCAGATATGCTGAAAGTTTGGGAAGGAATTCAGGCACTTGGGAAGAACACAGGCTGATGTTTTTAATTTGTTTGATGAAGTAATACTCCAGAGAGACAGGCTCTGCTGTTTCTGAGACAGGGTGTGGAAAGAAAGAGCAAGTGGGAAGTTGGAGGGAGGTAGAAAGAAGAATGCTAGATAGAAGGGGATTCTTGGTCTGAAGTGGGATCCAGAAATGGGCAGGTTTCTTTTCAGTTTTCCTAAGGCCTACACCATCCACAGCCTCAGAACTCTTTTGACCCTCTACTGGATTTTCTCACCTGGTAAGGACTGTGAGGCCACTGCTGGGGTTTCAGGGCTGTGCTCAGTGACTTGGGAGGCTGAGACAGGAGGATCTTGAGTTCAAAGCCAGTCTCAGCAATGGCGAGGGGCTAAGCAACTCAGTGAGACCCTGTCTCTAAATAAAATACAAAATGGGGCTGGGGATGTAGTTCAGTGGTCACGTGCCCCTGAGTTCAATCCCCGGTACTCGCTCCCACTCCCTTCCCCCAAGATCATATGCCTTTTTTTTTTTTTTTTTTAAACAACCTGGAGTAGAATTCTCAAATTTATCCAGGGGAAAAAAGTGGGAGACAAGCATTTGAAAAACCTATTCTTATTTTTGCAATGCATAAAACTTCCAGTAAAGATTAATGACTTTGGCAGAATGACTAAGTATATAAAATTTATCCAAAGGTAATATTTGTAAAATATCGAAGTGCAGATAGGTCTCACCAATTAGGTCTTTATCAGATAAATGGCTAAAATTAAAGCAAAGTATATTTTAAAATAAAACTTCAAGAATCATAGACCTTTGAGAAAGCTGATGAGAAATTCATTGTCCCACAAAGACGCCCGGAGTCCCCGTGGAAAAGCGGGCAATATACGCAGGGAAAGAGCTTTTTTCCTCTGCCCTCAAGACTTTCCGGAGAAAAGAAGATTACGAAAATCAGGGTCTATAACAGGATATTAAAATCAACGCGAAGAGAGGCGCAAAATACAGACCAGTGATTGAAAAAGCCAAGTCTTCAAGACTTTTAAAGAAACTGGTCGAGAGTCAAAGAATCAATCCAAGAAATTTGCAGAGGTCGCACTCCTACCATGGCTCGGCGCCGCCCGCGGCTCGCGGGGGCTTGTGCGCGCGCAAGCCGGGCGCCTCCACCAGTCACCACTAGACGGCGCACTCTAGAGCCTGCCTACGGAAATCCCGCCTCTCATTTCCGGCGGCGAGGGATGGGGCGGAGTTGGAGGCCGCTTCCTGCTCAGGGAGTGTTTCAACTCCAGCACGTGTGTGATTCCTCCGTGTTGCTGGATTACCTTTATCTCGGGTGAATTTGTGGGGTCCGGACTCCTTTCAGGCCTAAGCATGAAGGCGGTAAGTGTTCCTAAGAGCCGAGTTCTCGCAACTTAAGGGCCACTGTAACTGACAGTCGGTGCCTGGTTTACCTTTTCGGTGGGGGTAAACCCACCGAATAGGGGGCGGTGGCTTAGATCGGCCTCCGAGCTCTATGCACTGTCAGCTTCCCGGGTTCGTCGTCTCCCGCTGTGCGCTTGCAGGGCTTCAGGAATCCCCGACGAGTTAAGCGCTGAATCTGGCATCCATAAGGTGTCAGATTTGGAAGGGTTCTTCTGAACCATGTTAGTCGAACCCTTTAGCTAAAGGTGAGAAGCATGGTCCAGACCTCAGGGAGTGTATGGTCTGAGTTACACTCAGACGAGTCCGTCTCACCCTTAAACGGTAAACAAATAGGAAGTCAGGTGGTTTGCCTTAATTCAGAGATTGAATTACGCTTGGATTTGGATTTCTGAAGGATGGGTCACCTGCAAGAGTGATGGAATGCAAAGACAGTTTTGCCCTCCTCAGTTTAGGGGGGTCTTTTGCAAGTTGCATAACCTCTTTGAGCCTAGGTAAATCTTCATCGGTGATGTGAGGCTAACAGCAATCACTATTTAAGCTGTTGTAGGTAATGTGTTAGAGCAGTTTGCAAATGATAAAACAGCATATAAATATCAGTTTTTATTGTTAAAACAATAACGCGGGCCATTGTATTGCTCTGTGTTAAACAACTGGTATTAAATCTAAGGTCCTGAATAACTGTCTACCATGAGATCAACAATTCTTAATCGTTTTTGGATCTTAGACTCTTGGAGTAACTGTAGTCACAGTTCTGGTTACTGGAGAACCCTACTTGGAATAACCAATACTTCAGTGTCATTCTGTAGGATTACTGGCATAGTTTGTTATCAGGCTTTATGTGCAAGATGTATGGCTGTGTGACATTAAAATCATGGGATTGATTTGGTGAAATTTAGAATCAATTCTCTTTAACCTGATATAAAAATAAAATAATTTAAATTTGTCAGTGTATTGTCTTCCTTCTATTATTGTGTTCTAGAGACGAAATAAAAAACAGGTCCCAAGCTTTCGCAAGTTGCTAAAAACTAGTAAAGTCAAACTTGAAAACAAGTTAAAAAACAAGCAACATAAGCAACAAAGCACTCTCAAGAAGTACAGGAAGGAACAGAGAAAATTAAGGCAAGCTGTAAAAGATGCTGTGTCTAAGAAACCCATTCCACTGGAGGACCCAAAGAGAAGACGACCAGGTAATTGTGAAAGCATTTATGAGCCCTAGTTTTCATTGATTATTCTGAAATATTCTTCATGGAATGAACTTTACTTTCTAGTAGCTACTCTTGTACTCAGATCTTCCAAAGAGTAGGTAAGGATAATATAGTTCTGTATATATGATCACAGTCACATTTCAATGCAGTCTTCATTGTGAGAAACAGCTACTTTTTGCTTGCAGTTTGTCTCAAAAGCAGATCTGAATATACAGTACTTGTGAAAACAGGCTTAGAGTAGCTATATAAATAAATGTTGGGCAGTGTGTCAATGCTACCACTTTCCCATTCCCTGAAGTTGGCTAAGGTGAAAAGATTGTTTTTCTTTGGCACATTCTGTGTGTGTGTTGCTGGGTTTGAACCAGGGCCTTGTACATTCTAGTCAAGTGCTCTATTTCTGAGCTATGTCCTCAGTTCACTCTGCATTTTTCAAAGTGTTGCCAAGATACATTTCCTTTTCTAAACTTCTGACATTTTTTCACTTTTAAACTTGGAGTGAATTTGAGCTCTAATTGTCTGGGTTATTTTCAAGAACTTCATTACTCAAAACAGGAAAAGAATACAGTAATTTTGAGTCAGGCTGTTTCTGCAACTTCACTGGTACTTTTAGGGTATTCAAAAAATATCCTAAACTATTCTCCCCACATCCATCTCATTCTCTTAATCCTGACGTAGTTTGATCCCTTGGCAACACATTAGTGTGTTATGTACAAGGCCATTTGACTGGAAGTCAAGAAACTTGGGCTTTTATCTTGATTTTGTTACTTACAAGCTGTATGGACTTGGTCACTTAATCTCCAAATGCTTTATCTGTAAACAATGAATTGGGTGAGTTAGGTTTAGGTACTTTTAAAGATTTCCTCTAAGTTTTACACTTTAAAAAGCATAATGTCCTAATAGTTTTAATAAATAAAAGCAATGTCTTCATTATTATAGTTCAACATCTAAGCAAAGTCTGTCAGACAGATCTGAGAGTACAAGGAAACGATGAAAGCAAAGGCTGTTGTGGGAAATTGGAGGAATTTTTAGCTTATGACTTCTCATTTCTCATTAAAGTAGGAAATTGGGTCCTCTGATGATTACAAAGTGAGATAGATGATGGGGTTAGAAGTGTGATGGTAAATAGAAAAATCCTCTACAGAAGAGAGAAAGCTGACCAAGAAAATGCACCCATTGCTGCTATGTTTGAGAAATGGAATTTTCATTTACAGTAGATTATAGTGCCACTCTGTGCAGGGTTTACATTTATATGAAAATATTTACCAGTCTTATTGCTATCAGGAAGAATTTTAAGTTCTCTTAAGCATTAAGATTGTCTTGCTTATATTTGAAACACTAGCTCTTACAGTGATCTCTGATATTTAGTTGGTGTACTTCCCCCTGCTCTCTTTTTCTTTCTCTCTCATAAAAAAAGAGAAAGATGGAAAAAGAGAGCAAAGGACAGAGAAGTTAGAATGATATATAATTTGGGTTTTGTGAGATGTGAGTATCTTAGTGATTGAGAATATTGGCATGAGAGTGGTTGAAGTGATACCATGTAATCTAGGTAAGGGACTGAAGACGGAACACATGGGTAGAAAGTGGACTATTTGAAGAATTGAAGGTCTACATTTAGTTAATGAAGAAGTGCATTGGGAGTATCTGAGAGCTGGAACCCTGAAAGTTTGTGTTCAAAGTGGGGTGAGCACCAGGATTTGGGACATGGCACTTGGAGAGATTAGCTGAAGTGGAATGGAAGTGAAAGTCATGGGAGATGAGAAGGAGCTAAGAGAGTGACATTGGTTCTTTTTTTTTTTTTTTAATATTTTTAGTTGTAATTGAACATATCCTTATTTTATATATTTATTTATTTTATGTGGTGCTGAAAATTGAACCCAGTGCCTCACACATGCTAGGCAAGTGCTCTACCTCTGAGCCATGACCTCAGCCCTGACATTGGTTCTTAATTGCCCTGAGAGACATTTATTTTTTGGTGGTTACTATGACCTGGGAATGCTGTTGACATTGAGATTGAGGAGTCAGAGATGCTAGCGTTTTTCCTAGCTCAGGGTACCCCAGTACAATAAAGAATTGTCATGTTCAAGATGTCGATGGTGCTCCCGTTAGAAACACTAGGCCAAAGTTTAGAAAAAAATAAGCTTTTCTTGTTGTGAACCTCAAAGTGTAGAGTTTACATCTCTAATAATTGTTTTTTATTTTTTGTATAGTTAAAAGGATTGAGAAAGAAGAGGAGGAAGAAGAGGAAGCACTTCCTTTAGATATGTTGGATGAAGATGACTTACAGTTAATGAAGGATTTAGGACAAAGAGCATCTTTTCTAACAAGAGATCTTTCTTCTAGGTAGTATTTCATTTGGGTTATAGTCATTCACATGTTACAAACTTGGTTCTTAATGTTACATAGGTGGTTACTTCAAAGATATTCACACCTGAGCAGAATCTTTACAAAGAGACAACTCTTGTTTCAGTTTTATTTCCTAAATAAAGAAGTGTATATGAACTACAAGCTGATTTTATTTAATGTACATCTATTTCTTTTGAGTCTGAATTGTGAAGTGTAGTGAATGGAGGAAGAATGCTATTTTTTCCCTGAGGCACTGACAGAATAGTCTTGAGTTTGTGGCCATCGTCTCACTAATCCTTATTATATTGTAAGGTAGGTGTTATGCCCATTTCCAGAGGGAAAACTGCTGCTTCCCCATAATCACAGAGAACGGATCTGGATTAACACTTGATCTTTCAATTCCAAAGTCTGTGTAATGTTCCGAAAGGTTTTGGGGAAAAAAAATAGAGCATAATGTCATTCTTGGCTCTGTGGAATGTTGTTCTTTCACCTTTATTTTGCATCTAAAGGGAAAACTAGTGTAGTTGAGTCTCTGTGGTAGACACTTCATACAGTCTATTTATTCAGTTGATGTTTGAGTGCTTGCTGTGTGCCAGGCACTGGTCTTAGTGCCAGCACCTCTACTTCTATTGATAGTTACATATGAATAGACTTGCTTATTTTTTTGCATACCTGACCATTGGACAACATGGCTGTGAAGTGCACGGGTCCACTTATATATGTATTTTCTTTTTGAGATTTGTGATGGTTTGAAAAAAACTTGCAGAGGAACCATGAGCCTAGAAATATTGAAAAAATTAAAAAGACATGAGTGCATAAAATATTGAGATAATAGTCTGTTTTGTCATTTACGTTGTAAAATATACACAAACATTATAAAAAGTTTACCAGAATTTCCATAAACACTTGGAGCCCATTCATGGCTTTATTTTTAGTTGACTCAGCATTAAATCATAAATGCATAAAATTAACTGAAGTACATACTGTATTACTGTGGTAATTTTGTAGCCACTTTGTGTTATTCTAATGTGTGTTATCAACTTTCTTTTATCAGCAAGCTATTAGTAGTTTATTTTTTTTGGCAGTCAAAAGTTACACTGGGAGTTTGGGATTGGGGATATAGCTCAGTGGTAGAGTGCTTGCCTAGCATGCAAGAGACATTGGGTTCAATCCCTAGCACTAAAAATAAATACATAAATAAATAAATAAATAAAAATTGGGATTTTTTTTTTTTTTTTTTTTTTAAACTAGTTGGGGGGAGGCTGGTATTCCTAACCACTGCATTGTCAAGAGTCAATAATACTTTGATGGGCTGGGGCTCAGTGGTAGAATGCTTACCTCTTGGGTTTGATCCTCAGCACCACAAAAAACAAATAAACAAGATAAAAGATATTGTGTCCATCTATAATTAAAAATAAAAGAGTCCATAGTACTTTGAAAATGATAGGTCTAGGTACATTTTAAAATGCATTAAAACAAAATGATGTTTTTTCCTATAGTGAACCAGTTCACGTCAAGAAACGAAAGCATGAGCATATCATAGACAAATATGAAAAAATACCAAGAACTCTGCAAACTGCACCTGAGAAGGAACTGATTCACTTGCTTCCTATCAAAGATAAAAGTGGCATAATCCCACAGACAAGGGAGAAACCAGGTGAGTCTAAACAGCTTGTGTTTTAAACTTTTTTTTTTTTAGTATTTTAGTTGGACACAACACCTTTATTTATTTATTTTTATGTGGTGCTGAGGATCAGACCCAGCACCTCGCACATGCTAGGTGAGCGCTGTACCGCTGAGTCACAACCCCAGCCCCGTGGTGTTTTAAACTTTTAACTCCTCACAAATACCATGACATTTTTTTCATTTACAATTTAATTTTATTTTGGCTTTTATTCATCTACAAAATAAGGTTAGCTTTAGTTAGTCACATAGCAGCCTTGATGATTTGGCCAGAAATACAGGTGGCTATCTCAGGTATCTCTTGTATTGTGAGTACACCTGAAGCTACAAGGTTTGGGTAATTTTCTTTTCAAAGAGTTTGTTTTGCCAAATTTTGTTTAAAAAATGTGAACACATTAACTATCTTTGATTAGCCTTTTTTTTTTTTAATGTATCTTTTTGTGTGTGTGTGTGGAAAAAACATAAGACAGAAATCAAAGATGTGAAGTTTCATGATTTATCACAAAGCACATCGCCATAAAACTACCTTTCAGGAAAGAAATAGACACTACCAGAATCCAGAAACATTTTTTTGTGCTCCCCTCAATCACTAATTGCTCCCTCCCTATAAAAGTAATTACTGTCCTGAGTTTTATGGTAATTATTTCCTTGCTTTTCTTTACATATATTATCACAATTTTAGTATGTATATTTTCCACATAGATACTGATAGTAACAAAGATGAAGAGGATCAAGAAGAAGAGATGGAACTTGAGGAAGGTAATGGAATGCATCTTTACAATTACTAAATTATTAATTAGTCATTACATTTTTTACATAATAAAAATATGAGTTAGTTTTAAGTAAAATCTAGAATATACATTTTGAAGTATTGCTCATTTAAAGATCATTTTGAACTTTTCACATTTGCAAAATCTCACCTTGTAGAATTTGACATTTTGTTGTTTTTTTATTATGGAAAAATTTACACAATTATGTATTTGTAGAGTCAAGGTGCACATAAGGAGTTTTGTTAATTATTACTGTTCTCTATTTTAATTGTAACAGAAGAAATTACAAATATTTTTTAATATTTTAGCTTTAAATTGCAAAAATGATTCTGGGATATGAAGTCATTTTTGTTGGTTCTCAGAACAATTATACTTTGTATGTGTCTGTTTTAGATTATTGAACTATAGCTATAACAGTTTTAACTAATCAGAGTTAAACTGAAAGTACAGATTTTATTGTTAGAAACTGTACTCATTTAAAATTTGTGTCAGCAAGTTGGTTAAATTTTACTTTGACTTATATCTTATTAATAGTGTAAATGCGATTATACATTAACTTGTTAACTTGTCAAGCTTATCACAAATTATGTTTGTTTAAGTTTATTACATCTAGTTCTTTGAATTTGTTAAATTGGACTGTTTTGTTTAATTCAAAGTACTACATAGAGTTGGAAACAAAGGATAATATTCTGTACTTAAAAAAGACTAAATCAGATTGCCTCCTTTCTTTAGTTAATATAAATTATTGTGGAGTTATTAGCATAGTGGATAAGAATATGAGCTGTAGAATCAAATTGCCAGGGTTTGAATCCCATTTCTGTCAGGTTTATGGAATTAGCTAACTTACTTTTTGTCCCTACTACCTGTCAACATAATTACTGAGAGGATGCTATATAATAATAAGTACAAAATCCTTAGTTATCATCATTATTAGTATCAGAAATTATTTTATTGAGTTTCTTGGATAGTAAATAAAGGCATACTTAAGAGGGAAAATCAAATCTGTTTCAGAGATCATTGAAGATCCTATTCCAGAGATGACCAGAGAAGAACATTTGATTGAGAGAAAGAAGAAACTACAGGAGAAGAAATTACATATTGCAACTTTGGCGTCTGCCATACTGTCAGATCCAGAAAGCAATGTAGGTAGTATTAATTTCTTTAGGCTCTTCATAGTAGATATGGCACAAATATGTGATATATTAAGATTCTCTTGTTGCCTACAAACATGCACAAAAAGGAAAATAAATATCTAAACATAGTACATGGATTAGAAAGAAAGTAGGCAAAATCTTTGCTTGATCCTACTGTTGAACTTAATTTCCTTTGTAATCTTAGAAAAGTCACTTAAACTCTTATTATTTTCCTCAGCTCCAAATGAAGATATTGGACTTGTTGTGGTAACTGTGAAAGTTACACAATTAATTGTATTAGGGAGGAGGAACCTACTTGGAAATTTGCTTGTCTGACCTATACGGTTTTAATAAGAACATGCTACAGAGAAGACAGTAAATTAGTTCATGAATATTTGTAAGTGGAAAATGTTTAGTGAAGTACAGTCACAGTTGTAATGAGTTTTCACTGGGTGTTATGGATAGTGGTAAAATAATTATAGTTATAACATGTGAACCTAAGAAACCTGAGGTTTAGTGTTGGCCCTGCTAAGTAATATTTGTGAGATTTTGGGTAAGTTATTTTATTCATGAGTCACTTTCTTCATCTCTAAAAATAAGATAGTATCTACTTCAAAACTTTGTTGAGTATTAAGAAAATATATATGATGTCATATAAAATGATATTATTATTATTATATTGGAATCTCCAGCATCTTACTAATAGATTATTTACCTTTATGGGTAAAAATTAATTTGGGTATGCTTTGGAGCAGTACTTATCTTTTTCTAATAAAGAGAGGGGAACATCTGGAGGAGAATCAGGAAGGGGGAGTTAGAATATTTCTCACCTATATTACCTGGTTTAATCATTACAAAACCATAGGACAAGATTTGTTTTCTTTTTTTATATTTTTTGTTGTTGATGCACCTTTATTTTGTTCATTTATATGTGGTGCTGAGAATCGAACCCAGTGCCTCACACATGCCAGGCTAGCGCTCTACCACAGAGCCACAGCCACAGCCCAAGATTTGTTGATCTGATTTTATAATTGAAGAGTTGAACCTTAAAAAACTCAGATGATTTTTTTTTTTTTCCCCTAGGTTTTAACAGCTACCAGATTAGAATCCAGGTCTTTAACCGTGGAACTGTATGCTCATTTTACACAATTTAAAGATAGCGAATAAGTATTATATTTTCAACTCCCTACTGTAGTAAACATTGTTAACTTTCAAGATATCACTCCTATAGGCGAAAGTAGTTCATTAAAACAAACATATTAATTGAAACCAAGTTTTTGTTTCTTTATTACATCATATAAATTATATTTGTATGCATCTTATTGATATTATGTGGTTAGCTAGATGCATTTAGTTTTCAGTTGTTCATGGACCCTTATTTATTTATTTATTTATATGTGATGCTTAGAATTGAACACAGAGTCTCACACATGCCAGGCAAGTGTTCTACCACTGAGCCACAACCCCAACCCCCTACGTTTAATTCTTGATTATTATATGTGATTAATATATATTTGATTGGCATATGTAACATTTTAGTGCTCCAAAAAGTTTTCAGGAAAATAGGATACAGGTTTCAAGAAAACTCAAAAAAGAATTTCTAAAATAGGTAAATTAATAAATTGCAGCTATTTTTTGTAATCTCTTCCTTTTTCTAACTGCTTTTATGACAAAAATGTCATTACCTTCTAACTTTAGTGATGTATCTCATCTTGGTAAGGTACACAGTGTCTGAAGTTTGATATGGCTTGGCTTGAGAGTCAACAGGTGAATTCCATTTATTGCGTGAGGCATAAGTCTGTTTTCTTTTTTGTTCAGAATTGTTTTGCTGTGAAATCTCTAGCCTCATGAGTTATTTCTTTAACAGATTAAAAAACTGAAAGAATTACGTTCCATGCTCATGGAACAGGATCCTGATGTGGCTGTTACTGTTCGGAAGCTGGTGGTAGTTTCTCTGATGGAGCTATTTAAGGACATTACTCCTTCATATAAAATTCGGCCCTTAACAGAAGCAGAAAAATCTACCAAGGTAAAGCTAGATATAATTACTGTATAAAATAAGTGAAAATTTGGAGAGTTAGAGATGGGAGAAATAGGAATTATCTTATTTATTTATATCCTCCCACCCCCGGCACTGGGCATATGCAAGGCACTCATTTTATGTGCTAATTTTTGAATTTTAGTATTCTGATTTTAAAAAATAATTGATCCTTTTGGTCTTTTCAGATCCGCAAAGAAACCCAAAAGTTACGAGAATTTGAAGAGGGCCTGGTTAGCCAGTATAAATTTTATTTGGAAAATCTGGAGCAAATGGTTAAAGGTATATTAAATAGATCCTAAAAGTATATAAAATGCATAACCTTGATTATGAAGGTGAACTCTTTGTTCTCTGTTGTGTAGTGAGAGGCAGGTGTATAGTGTATGTTGAAGAGCAGTGTCTAGAGTCAGACTCCTTGGGTTCAGCCTGACTTTACCACTTAGTATCTATTTTTTGAGTAAGTTTTTAATCTTTCTTTGCTTCAATTTTCCTATCTATGAAGTGGAAATAATAATAGAAGTTGCCTTAAAGAATTATTGTGAGAAGTAATAGAATTTATAAATTTATAATGCTTAGAACTATGTCTATCAGTCTAAGTGCTATATTTTATTAGCTACTAGAGTTAATATTATTGCTATGGTCCTTTAGAAATAGTTGTGTATGTTTGTTGAAATTTAAACAGTTGGGGTTTATTCTACCGTTGGTTTTTATTTGGAAACAATAATCAGAGAAGAAAGATATCGTGAAATGGATGTGGATGCCTTATAAGTTGTTGAGGATTTTAAACTATTCTATCAACCCTTCTTTTTCTCTTCAGGAAAGGAAGGGCATAGGAAAAATTGGGTTTTGAGTAGAGAAGAGATTTACTTGCCTAAATCAGTTGCCTTTATTTGATTTAGTGTTCTTTTACTTAGTTTTAAGCCTAAAGATCACCCAGCTACTATCAGTTGGAGCAGGATTGCTGAATCCTGTTGGTTTGATGAGGGCATGAAGGTGGTGGAGGATAGTGGAGTGGTTGTGGCTAGCATGGATTTTGCATTATGCTTTGGTGTCCCAACTGGAACTAACTTAACTTTATGTTGACCAGCACTGTACAATAGAAATATAACATGAACTACATGTCATTAAAAAAAAAAGTTAGCCACACTGAATAAATAAATAAAAGGCAATGAAACTAATTTTAGTAGTAAATTATATATGTATCTAAATTATTGTTTTGATATATGAATGATTTTAAAAATTAATGAGATGTTTTACATTCTCATCTTTTTTATCCTAAGTTCAGAATCAAGTATATTTTATATTTACAGCAAATCTGAGCATTTCAAAGGCTCAGTTGCCACATATTAGTATTGTCTGAATTGACAACATGCAGGTGTAGACATTTTCTAAGCAGAATGAAGCACCATGAAGTCTTTTTAGTTTTTTAGACTGTGATCACATATATATATATTTATTGTAAAAGAAAGCCAGTTTAAGTTTTGACCAATTAATAAGTAAGTAACTACATTTATCTTTTAATTAGATTGGAAACAAAGGAAGCTAAAGAAAAGTAATGTAGTTTCCTTAAAGGCATATAAAGGACTGGCTGAAGTGGCTGTGAAGAGCTTATGTGAGCTGTTGGTGACACTACCTCATTTTAATTTTCACAATAACATCATTGTATTGATTGTTCCTCTCATGAATGACACGTCAAAATCAGTGAGTTGCTTTAAATGATTTTTGCTATTATTCTTAACAGAACATTATAGTCCGTGAGATTTATTTTCCCCACAAAATTGTTTTGGAGCAATTATTTATTGTTAAACTAGTATCAATTTTTTAAGTACTATCTCTTTAAGAAAATTATTAGAACTAAGTTTAGTGGAGTGATTCCCAACAGGAGGCAGTTTTGCCCTCTAGGGAACACTAGGCAGTGTCTAGAGATATTCTCAGGACTGTGGTGGTGGGGGAGTATGTATTACTACTGGTAAAGCTTAGGGAGATTTTATAGCTCCAATGTGCAGCATAGTCCTGTCACAACAAAGAAAATACCAGTAGTGCCCAGGTTGAAAACACTGGTTTAGTGTAACATTTTATTTTTCAGATATCTGAAATGTGTTGTGAGGCAGTAAAGAAGCTCTTTAAACAAGATAAATTAGGCCAAGCTTCTCTTGGTGTAGTTAAAGTGATTTCTGGTTTTGTGAAAGGCAGAAATTATGAAGTTAGGCCAGAGGTAAGCCTTTCTTTTCTTACTTTGCATTTTATTTGTTTTTAAATTATACAGTTTATTTTAATTGTTCTGAGGAATATTTATTTTATTTATTTATTAGTGGTGCTGGGGATCTACCATTGTGCTAAACCACTAGCCTAAGGAATTTATTTATATACTTCTATAAAGCATTAAAAGTACTTAAAATAATGTAAGCACTATTAACATTTGGTATGTATGTTGTTCTAGGTAGTTTTCTTTGCAGATATATGCTTGCTTATATTTTAAAATAAAAAGTGAGCTTATACTATGAACAGATTTTAGAGCTATTTTTATTTTGTATATTGTGAATTTATGTGTAAGGCTCTCATGTTTTTGGTAATGATAGCCATAATATTCCATCATATGAATAGTGAGTCCCCTACTTATTTTTTTTTTAGACAACTGAGTTGTGTCTGTATTTTTGCTGTTAAAGCCAGTGTTGAAGAAAATATTTTGACCATATGATTTTTATTTTTCATATCATATGAGAATTCTGTGAATGGAATTTCTGAAGTGTAGGTACTGGATCCATCATTCCTCACATTTAAAAAACTTGAGAGAGAATGCCAGATTGTCATTGTCTTCCAAAACATTTTATCACTTAGGTCCTAACTGTCTGCCCAGTACTGAATGTTACTATTTTTTTTTTTAATATTTTTTAGTTGTCAATGGACTTTTATTTTATTTATTTATATGCAGTGCTGAGAATCGAACCCAGTGCTTCATGCATGCTAGGCAAGCACTCTGTCACTGAGCCACAACCTCAGCCCCTAAATGTTACTATTTAATCTTTGTTAGTAGAGTAGGTGAAAAGTTGTATATATTGCATGTATATTTATTTGTACATATTTATTACTAAGGCTTTGCTTTCATTTGTACATTTATTACTCATTTGAAATTGTTTGAATGTTTGTATTTGGCAGCTTTTCTCTTCTAGGAGTTATCTTTCTTAATGACTTGTGGTAATTCTTTCAACAGTTATTCATTTCAATAAATACCTGTCATGTGCCAGGCACTAGTCTAGGACCTGAGGATAACAAAAGAAACACAATTGAGTGTGTGTGTAGTCTGTGAGTGTAGATATTAAATATTTGTTACATAAGTTACAAAGTTTTCTTGGTTAAGCAGCCTTTTTAGTTTGCTTTTGTGCTTTACATATGAGGCTATGTTTTGTCATGCATAGAACCATCTCAGTCTCAAGATTTATAGATTCTTGCTGGGCATGGTGGTACACACCTTTAATCCCAGTGACTGAAGAGGATGAGGCAGGAAGATCACAAATTTAAAACCAGCCTCAACAACTTACTGGGGCCCTAAGCAACTTAGTGAGACACTCTGACTTATAAAAAGGTCTGGATTCAATCTCCAGTACCTACCCTCCGCCACCACCAAAAAAAAAAATTATAGATTCTTTCCTTCCAGGTTTTTAATTTTAATTTTGTGTTTAAATATTTAAGCTATTTGACCTGTTTTTGTGTAGATATAATATTACATTTAATATATATAATAGTATCAGTTTAACATTGATTTGGCCAGTTATTCCAACACTATTTTCCTTTTTCTGCTGATTTGAAATGCAGATGATTTATTAGATACTAAATTCCTACACAAAAAAACTTTATTTGTGGGGACTGTGGTTATAGCGCAGTGGTAGAGTGCTTGCCTAGCATGTGGAAGGCACTGGGTTCAATTCCCTGTACTATAGAAGGAAAGCCAGTCTTTTTATTTTGAGATATGGTCTAACTGATTTGCCTATGCTGGCCTTGAACTTGTGATCCTCCTACATCATCCCAAATAGCTGGGATAACAGGTGTGCTTCATTGTGTCAGGCTTTTATGTTGTTAAGTGAAGTTTTATAGTTTTCTTCATTTGGGTCTTAGATACTTTTATTAAATTTCTTTTTAATTATAAAGTTTGATGGTTAAGTAGATATTTTTTACTCATGTGTTTAAGTTCCCTATTTTATAGTTGTCCTTTGCTATCAAATTCCCTTTGTTTCCTTAAAACTAGATTTCTGCTGAACCATCAAAATGATAACTATAAGGTTTAAGTAAAAGAAAATCTTTAGAATTTTTACTCAGAATTATAAAGTGATCAGTTAATAAGGCTTGTACATGAAACTCAGCTATAGAGAAACTATTCATTTCAGTGTTACTAGAATAAAAAACTACATCCTTTTCGTTGTGGTGGTGGTGCTGGTGCTGGTCATTGAAGCTAGGGCCTTTTGCATGTTAGGTAAACATTTTATCACAGATCTAAATTTCTAGCCCCATAAAAACCACAACCTTTAATTTGAAGTTACTTTTGATTGGTGAATGATATTTTATGAGCACCTAGAATACCTACAAAATATTAGAAATTGATCTTTCTAATACCTAGAATGGCCCAGGTTTCCACTTTATGCCTTTAGTAATTGCTTGTTTTCATTCTGAGCTTTTAGCCCCGCTATCTGAAATACTCAGCTTTCTTCTACATGTGCATATTGGAACGTCAAAATAATACAAACCTGTAGTTTTCAAATGTTTGTTCCAGGAATGCTACTGTGACTGAAGGAAGTCAGTAGGATAGTTTCTTCCAGAGAAACAAAATATAGTATTTGAAACCTTTTTGTTTGTTGTGTTTAAATATGAGAATGGTTGCTGTAGCACATAAAACATCAATTTTCAAATTGGTTTCTGGAATTTTGAGTGGCTTAAGATAAAAGTTCTCATTTTGGTCTATGGACCAGCATCAGTTGGAAATTAGAAACATAACTAGGGCTTGACTCCATACCTGCTGAAATAGAAATTCTGGGGATGGGATCCAGCTATTTGTGTTTTAACATGTTGTCTGGGTATTTCTGATACTTGATAAAATTGGGAAACCATTGGTTTAAAGGAAAATTAGTTTTCTTTGAATAATAACAATAGTCTTCATGCTGTTATTTTTTTTTTTTTTTTATTGTGAGAAACACATGAAGACTAACACCATTAACTGCAAAACTGAAGCAACTAGCCAATCCCTAAAAAACAAATGCCAAATGTCTTCTTTGATATAAGGAGAACAACTAAGAACAGAGCAGGGAGGAAGAGCATGAGAAGAAGATTAATATTAAACAGGGACGAGAGGTGGGAGGGAAAGGGAGAGAGAAGGGAAATTGCATGGAAATGGAAGGAGACCCTCATTGTTATACAAAATTACATATAAGAGGAAGTGAGGGGAAAGGGAAAAAAAAACAAGGGGGAGAAATGAATTACAGTAGATGGGGTAGAGAGAGAAGAGGGGAGGGGAGGGGAGGGGAGGGGAGGGGGGATAGTAGAGGATAGGAAAGGCAACAGAATACATCAGACACTAGTATGGCAATATGTAAAACAGTGGATGTGTAACCGATGTGATTCTGCAATCTGTATACGGGGTAAAAATGGGAGTTCATAACCCACTTGAATCAAATGTATGAAATATGATATGTCAAGAGCTTTGTAATGTTTTGAACAACCAATAATAAAAATTAAAAAAAAAAAAAAACCTGAAGCAAGCTTAGTAAATTAAAGCCAGGTTCAAAATATCTTAATTTATATTTCCTCCTTCCATATTGTCCAAACCTTTTTCTATCTTGCTTACTCTTTGTAATCCTGTCTACCAATGTAAGTAGTCTATGTCATCGTCATTACAGTAAAGTTTTATGTATTTAGTCAAATATTGTTGTTCACAAATAAGTGAATACGATTAGCAAAAGATAGTAGAACTATGTGTAAAATGTGATAAAAAATGCTTGAAAGTGGTTTTGCATGATAGGAGGAAATAACATTGTTAAATGCTATTTTTTTCTATATAAATTTTTGAGGGTATAGATATTAAGTTATATATTTGTATTTTTTTCCAATATTAGATGTTAAAAACATTTTTGTGCCTAAGAATCAAGGAAGTAGAAGTAAAAAAAGATACAGAAGACATCAATAAGCCCAAAAAGTTCATGACTTTCAAGGAAAAGAGAAAAACCCTATCAAGAATGCAGAGAAAGGTTTGGTTTATTTCCATTTTTGTTTTATTTAAGTGTTGTTTTATTTGATTTTTTATATTTCAAAATCTGAGAGTGGGGCATGGTAGCACGTGTCACAGCTATTTGGGAGATTGAGGCAGGAGAGTGCTATAGCCCATGAGTTGGAGGCCAGCATGGACAACATATTGGGACCCTGCTCAAAAAAAGAAACAAAACAAAACATTTTGAAACCTAGTATTTATTTTTTATTTGTTTTAGTACTAGAGATTGAACACCGGGGGCACTTTCCTGTTGATGAGCCACATCCCCAGTCCTTGATAAACTTTTTAGAAATTTTGATACAGGATCTTGCTAAATTGCTGAGGGTTTTGCTAAGTTGCTAGACTGGTCTCAAACTTGCAGTCCTACTGTCTCTCGCAAAAATCTAATATTTAGAGAATTTAATTTTTACCAGTTATTTCAAAAAATGTTTTCTTACATCAATTTGAATTGACAATTATTGGCAAAAAACAGTAGGTGGAAAGGTATTTTTGTCATGGGCTTTTATTCTTTTGCTTTTTAGATCAATTTAGAATCATTTGTTTTACACAGATTGTTTTTTTTTTTTTTCTTAAAAGGATACATTTAGGCTGGGCTTATAGCTCAGTGATAGAGCACTTGCCTAGCATGTATGAGGCACTGGGTTTAATTCTCAGCACTGCATATAAATAAGTAAAGGTCCATCAATAACTAAATAAATATAAACACGTATACACACACACACACACACACACACACATATATATATATATATATATATATATACATGTATACATATATCCTCACATGGATGCATCCTTTTATATATATATAAATATTAAATATAAAAGGATGCATCCATGTGAAGATTGGAGCCACACGTGAGCTTGTTAATTGAATCATTTTTTTGGGGTTAGAATTCCCACCCCTTGTTAAACCTGAGTTGAAATTTATCCCATTGTTGTTTACTGAGACTTTAGAAACCTTTGTTTTAAAAAGACAACTAGTATCTTCCTTAGAGAATCATTATACAGTTTAAATGAGATGATGATGTATTATAAACTTAAGAGTTTATAATACTGGATATGCTTTATAAACAGTAGTTGTTACCACCACTAAATTCATTATTTTTATCACTTAAATACAACATTTTTAAACAGTTTGTTAGAGTTATGAAATTACTTGTAAAAACGAAACAAAAAGTAATTTCCAGTGATCTCTATGACTGGTCTTCATACATTTTCAAAACATGACAGAAGTAATAGACTTAATTATAAACAAAGAAAATAAATACATTAAGATGGTATTGTTTAAATACTTAATAAGTTGGATGTCTCTGTGGGGGCCAGAGGGGACAAAGACCAATAAAAACATGGCAACTTTTTAACAGTTTCTTAATGAAGGAATGAAATTTCCTTAGTCAGTTCTCTATGCCTCAGGCAGCTTAGCAGCATTGTTTGCTGCTCTTCCAACATTAGGAAGTGGAAAAAAAATGGATATTTTATTGAATTTTTAAAGTAATATCTGGTTTTATTTATTATGTGAAATGTGATTGGGAGGAATTATTGATGATGGGCTAATAACTCTAGGAGTTATTTTTGTGTTCAGTGAATGTTCTCTTTTTTATGTTTTGAAAAATTTAATTGTAGAAAATTATATCCCATTGTATCTATTGCTCAAAATGAACAAATGTTAAAAGATTTACTTCTGTTTTTTTCTTGAAATGAAAGAAACCATTAGAAGCTGGATGTTGTGGCATACATCTGTAATCCCAATATCATGGGAGGCTGAGCCAGTGAGGATCCAGAGTTCAAAGCCAGCCTACACAGCATAGCAAGACCGTATTGCATAAATAAATGAATAATGACCGTATTGCATGAATGAATGAATGAATGAATGAGCAAGCAAGCAAGCAAAGAAAGAAATCATTGTTGAGAGGCAGGAGTCTCATTTGTTTCTCTTTCCAGTCTTGTTCTTCTGCTTCCCTCCCAGGAGGCAGTCACCATTATAAATATGGTTTGCATATACATCTGTTCCATGGATTCTACTTTTGCTTATATTTACCTTTCTAGACAATATGTGTTTTTTTTTAAAAAAATGATTCATTCATTTCTTTTTCCTGTTCAGAATTTTTATTTTATATTTTTAACCTGTACATTAGAATTGTACATAATAGGATACATTGTGACATATTTGCACACACACATGACACAAGTTTCACTCCCCAGAATCACCCCTTTTTTCCCTCCCTTACCCATTTCTCTTCCTCTACTGATTTTCCTTCTAATTTCATGAGTCCTCCCTCTAGTATGTGGTCAGATATGTGTTTTATAATGTTGACATTTTGCTTGTTTGCTTTTTTTCACTCAATGGTATACTTACTTTCTCCCCCTATTTTCAGTGGAAGAAAGCAGAAGAGAAACTAGAGCGAGAGCTTCGGGAAGCAGAAGCTTCTGAGAGTACGGAGAAAAAACTTAAGCTAGTAGGTAGTTTCATATTCTCTTATGCTTTTCAGAATGTTTTATTATATGATTTTAACCTGAAAATTATTGTTTCAACTTGTAGGTAGATAATTTTGATTTATTTCATGAGGCTTAGATGATTTTTAGGGTGCTCAAGAAACTATTGTGTGGTCAGTGTTAGTTTTATGAATCAAAAGATGTATATTTTCATTCTATTTTGTTAAAGTTCCAAAGATTGACTTATGGGGAGAGATGATAAGGGAAAAAGAAGATTTAACTTTGAAAGTCATAGTTGTGTTAGCTCAAGGAAAGCATACCAGGTTACCCTAAGGTGATTTTGTCTGTTTCCTCTGCCAGCACACGGAGACCCTGAATATGGTATTTGTAACCTACTTCAGAATATTGAAGAAGGCCCAGAGATCACCTCTTCTGCCAGCAGTCCTTGAAGGTCTTGCCAAGTAAGGGCTGTGTAGGTTGAAATCTTTTAGATTCCTTATAAATATAATGTTCTCTGTTCTCATTCGCTTTTTGTCTTTCCTTAAACTGTTTGTAACAAAAGGCTTTTTTGGTTTTGTTATCTCAACGTTTTATTTTTTAAGTTTTCGTTAACTCTTTCCTTCTGTTTTGTACATTGTAGGCGTCCTTAAAGTTCATCTCTCAGTCCTTGGTTCTTTTTTGCACTGTGTAGTCAGTTATCTACCAAATCCCAGCTTGTACATCATTTCTCGAATCCTCTGTAATATGTTTCTGTTAAAATACGTCTTTTTGCATATCCTATTAATACTGATTACTTTCTTGAAGAATGGTTGTCCTGATAGCTTTCTATTATTAGTTATGAGGTGGTATCCTGTATAATATTGTTAACCAATAAAAATATAAGGTGAACTACATATGCAATTTAGCTATATTATTACAAAGGTAAAAAGATACAAGTGAAATGTATTTTATTAAATTAGATTTATCTAACATTATTTTAACATACAATTTGTATTAAGTATTAATGAGATAGTTGGCATTCTTTTTTTTTTTTTTTCCCCTCTTCTTTTTAGCATAAAAGAGTAGGATTTATTTAAATGAGAAGAAAAGAAGCAGAGTTTTTACCTGGCAAAGGCGCGTGGTGAGGGGGGTGCGGTGATGGGGGGGTCAGGATCTGATAGGTTGCCCTTGGCATCCTTTTTAAAATATGTCTTTGAAAACTAGTATATATTATATACTTACAGTACGTCTCAATTTGGATCAGCCACATTTCGAGTTTCTAGTAGTCATTTGTAGCTAGTGCCTACCATTATTGGATAACACAGATTTAAAAATAGAAATAGGACTTATGGCTGGAAGATATAGAAAAGGCAAGTTCTGTTCATTATAAGAAATTACTTTCTAATGACTAAAGTTGTTTGGCATTGGGTTGCATTTCTTTATAGGGTAATGTCCTCATCCTTGAGAATTTTCAAAGAAAGGCTAATCAGAGAAGGGATTACTCTTACATTATGTAAAACTTGCTATTTATTTTTTTAATGGCCAATTTCCTTATTTAAGTTTTTTTTTTAAACCTGCTTATTTTAGAAGCAAATAAAAAGAATCTAAATAATCCAAATAAAAAGAATCTAAACTTTAAAATAAGTTCCCTTTCTTGTACATCTATATAAGTCTGTTTGTCTGCCGCCTTTCACAAATGGAATCATGCTTACATATATGTCCTGTAACTAGACATTTTTATTGTATTTTTCCATGTTAGCACATATAGATGACTTAATTTTTTAAGTTCCTAATACTCCATTTTATGGATACGAATATTTGTTTAGCCTTTCCCCTGTGTTATTGCTTGTATATACATCTTCATGCACTTGCATGCATCTATTGCCAGGTCAAAGGGTATGCTCGTCTTCACTTCTGATAAATAATGCCAAATGGCTTCCCACAAAATGGTACTAATAGACATGGACTGTCACTTCTAATGTATTACTTCTTTGGTCTCTCCTTGTTCTAAGATTTATATAGCAAAAATTCTTTATTAATATTTAAAAGGTATCCTGGCTTAAGCCAACTTTAGTGCCTAATAATTTATAGTATACATACAGGGTAGGCTCACATTTAGTAGCTCACATGATTCTCTCTTTTTTTTTTTTTTTCATATTTTTTTAGTTATACATGGACACAGTATCTTTATTTTGTTTATTTATTTTTAATGTGGTGCTGAGGATTGAACCCAGGGTCTCACACGTGAGAGGCGAGTGTTCTACCGCTGAGCCACAATCCCAGCCTCTTATATGATTCTCTTTAACCCTATTGGTAGTCTCAGTTATTTCCAGAAATAGAGGCCCAAGACAGTCAAATTACAGTCTAGGATCATATAGGTAATTAGTAGCAAGAACCTCAACTAAACACCAGTTCCTATATTCTTCTCATTTTATCTTCAAAGCTGTCATAGGGTCCATATGATCTTTTTTGGGTGCTGGGGATTGAACTTAGGGTCTTGTGCATGCTAAATATGCACTCTATCATTGAGCTATGCCCCAAGACCTGGGGTCTTATAAATGACAGAATCTTCCTTTCTCTCTTTCTACTACCTGTTTTCCTAGAAGCTGACTCTGCTGGCTCCTTTGTGAGTTTTCATACTGCTAGAAACCTAGTAAACTTTCCCCAGGGAGTATATTTGCTCTTAGCAACTTCTAAGGAAAAAGTGTTTTAAAATATTTTTGATCTGTTTAGTGCTTTATATATTCCTGCTGAGCACAGTGTCTATTAGTGTGAATCATTATTAATATTAATAATCACTATAATATCTGTCATAATTAACATTTTAAAATAAGGAGTATTAAAAATCAAGTTTTAAAGTCAAGTTTAATTTTTACCTACATATTTCTGCTTTTTGATCATCCTTTAACTAAGTTTTGTTTAATTTTAGGTTTGCTCACCTTATAAATGTGGAATTTTTTGATGATTTATTAGTGGTTCTTCACACTCTCATTGAATCTGGTGTAAGTAACTATTAATTAATTACTTTTTAAAAGATATAAGTGATAATTATCATTCTTAATAGCTTTTTTCTTTTTAAAGGACCTAAGTTACCAAGAAAGTCTTCACTGTGTTCAGACTGCTTTTCATATTCTTTCTGGGCAAGGTAAGATATTTTCTTAATCAAGTTTGTTTGCTTTGTCTTCAGAAGCTGTACTTACCTAATATATATTTGTTTTCATTTCAAAGGTGATGTTCTAAATATTGATCCAATGAAATTCTATACACATCTCTACAAAACGCTATTCAAATTACATGCAGGTATGTATGTTAAAATAATATTTCCTTAATACGTATTTATTTTCTAATTGTATATGACCAGAATTATAGTCAATGAGAAATTGGCATAGGTACCTAATATACTGGCTTGCCAGTGCACACATCTGAATTTAACCTTATGAAAGACTTGAAGAAAGAGTAACTTCCGGGTTTTTTTGGGTACTGGGGATTGAACCTGCGGTGCTTAACTGGGCTCACATCCCCAGTCCTTTTTTATTTTGAGACAGGGTCTTGCTAAGTTGCTTGGGGCCTCACTAAGTTGCTGAGGCTGGTCTCAAACTTAAAATCCTCCTGAACTTTTGGTACTGACTGAAAATGCAGTCAGTGTAGCCCATTGCATCTCTTAGCAGTACAGTACTTTTTTAGTGATTAGGGAAATGATTTGAGACAGGTATAACAATTCAGCTTGTTTGTGTATGTTTGTTTTTCTGGAGTTCAGTGAAGTTGCATAATGAAAAAGTAATGAGAAGAGTTCTGAAGAATATATCTGTTGTTTTAGGTGCTACCAATGATAGTGTTGAGATTGTACTCCAGTGCCTCGATGTCATGCTAACCAAGCGCAGAAAGCAAGTTTCTCAACAGCGAGCCCTTGCCTTCATCAAGCGCCTTTGTACCCTTGCTCTTCAGGTTCTTCCGAATTCAAGCATTGGCATTTTAGCAACTACCAGAATATTAATGCATGTAAGTAGTAATACAAATGAGGAGAACTAAGTTCTTATAATACTGCAGTCACATTTTGTTTGTTTGATCTGTGTCTTTTTCCCTCTTTTATATTATTATTTTAACCACAAAAGTTATTCACAACTGGGTGTGGTGTCACATGTCTATAGTCCCAGCTCCTTGGGACATTGAAAAATGGAAGCAAGAGTGTTAACGTTGCTTGAGCCCAAGAGTTTGAGGCTAGTCTGAGCAACACAGTGAGACGCTGTTTTGTTAGAAAAGTCAGATAGGAAAAATAATTCACATTTGTAACAAGATCAGGTGATAGAAGAAGTACAGCATAAAATTACATAAGGAAAGGATTCTGTATCTGCTGACACTTCTCAAATGTAATTATTTTTATCACTTGGTGTGTATCCTTCCTATAGACTTTTTGAAATTCATGTATAAGTACTTGCACCACACACAAAACGAACGATTTTTTTTTTTTTTTTTTGTAATAGAAAGGAGATTAAGGGGATTATGGATACACTGTTTTTTAAAAACACTTAATGGTAGTGAATACAATACAAATATTGCCATTTTATCTCTTTAATAATTAAGGTTTATTTAGTTCTTTATTTAACAAAGACTTGTATAGTTCTTACTATGTATCTGCCACTTTTATAAATGCTTTACAAAGATTAATTCACTTAATTTTTATGACCCTGAGGTAGCTGCACTTATTGTTCCCATTTTACAAATGGTAAAACAGGTCGAAAGAGAAAGTAACTTTCTTACTTTTTTTTTTGAAAGTAATTTCTTAAGATGACACAAGTATTAAGTGTTAGAAGTGGCATTCAAATTTAGGTAGTCTGGCTTTTATACTTCTTTGTAGTTCTCTTGATGGATATAGGTTATTATTGTTACTGCTGTTAACCAATGATGCTGTATTGAATATATGTGTATTGGATGTATTTTTGTAAGAAAGATTCTTTTTTTTAAATATTTTTTAGTTGTTGGTGGACCTTTATTTTTTCTTTATTTGTATGTGGTACTGAGAATAGAACCCAGTGTCTCCCACATGCTAGGCAAGCACTCTGCCACTGAACTACAACCCTAGCCCCTGTAAGAAAGAGTCTTAAAAGTGGGATTGGAGCGTGGAAAAAATATTTTGTTTTCTTTTGCAAGAAAGAAAACAGAATATTCTTGTTTTCTTCTCAAACAAGACATTCTTTTGCGATTTTTTTCTTACTATATAAACTTAAATGACTTCTTATTAAAGACCTTGTGCTTGTAGCTCGTATATAACCACAAATTCAAATGAAACACAAGTACAGACCAATGAGATTCTTAAAATTACAATATTAATTTATTAATTCTCCCTTTTAATGTGTTTTTGTAGACTTTCCCCAAAACAGATCTATTGCTTGACAATGAATCTCAGGGAAGTGGGGTTTTCCTCCCTGAGCTGGATGAGCCCGAGTACTGTAATGCTCAGAACACTGCACTGTGGGAATTGCATGCGCTGCGGGTAAGAGTAGCCCTATTTATTTATTTTTCTTCTTTTGTGAGCAATAATTTTTCAGTTTCCTCAAATAGTTATTATTGTCAGAGGACTTACTGTATTTTGTTCTGGGGAATATCTGTTTTACAATTCATATTTTAATATTGCATTTCACTTTGCTTTTGTTATTCTTTAAGCTGTTAAGGTCCATTCTCTAAGACAGTAGAAAACAATGACAATTTTTATATTGATCTTATCCAAAGATACTTCAGTAGGCCACATTTCATGGTTTTACCTATGTCCTACAACATCCTTGTTCCTGCATATGGATAGCATTAGAGTGAGCCTTGTGAAATATGAGTATCAGGTGAGTTGTTGTAAACTATTTTCACTCAGAAGTAGGAATTACTTTTTAATATTTTTTTAATACTATAAAAGCAAGACTAAAGTATGTCACTGGTAACTTGGTCATCAAACAGATTTGTTTTTTAAAAAATATTTATTTAGTTGTAGATGAACACACAGTGTCTTTATTTATTTTTATGTGGTGCTGAGGATCGAACCTAGTGTCTCACAAATGCAAGGCAAGTGCTTCACCACTGAGCCCTAGCCCCAGCCCCCAGATTTGTGTTTTAATCCTGTCAGCAAAAATTATATTTTTTCTGTAGGCATGTGGTTCTGATAAGTTAAATACGTATATGTGGGGTTTTTTTTTTTTAAAAAAACAAGATTTTGTGGTTTTATTAAAGAAAATCTTTGCTCAGCTAGTGTTTTCTAAAGTACTGACCTGTGCACAATGTGGTTTTCCTGTTTCTTCTTCAGAGACATTACCATCCCATTGTGCAGAGATTTGCAGCTCACCTAATGGCTGGAGCACCTTCTGAAGGCTCTGAAGCATTGAAACCAGAATTGAGCCGAAGGTAATATTTAGCATCGCTTTATTCTTTTCCTTTTTTGTTTTCTTTGCAGTGTGAGAGATTGAACCCAGAGTATTGCTTTATTCCAAAACTACAAAATTTAGAGACTTGAAATGAAGATTAGTGGTAGAGCACTTGTCTACTAGCTCATTCAAGGCCCTGGGTTTGATCCCCTGTATTTCAGGAGAAAAATTAGAAAAGAAGACAACTACCAAAATTCAGCTGATAGCTCTTTACTTTGAAAAGTCTAGTACTATGAAGTACTAGATTACAAAATGTTAAGTGCAAGTTGAGGGTCAGGTTTTTGTCTCACTTCATATTCCTGAATTGTTCTATAGATAAAATATGCTGGCTAGTTGAAAGTAGTGATGCCTATAATCCCAGCTACTTGGGAGGCTAAGGCAGGAATATTGCAAGTTCAAGGCCAGCCTGGACAACTTAGTTAGACTTTATCTCAAAAATTAAAAAAATAAAAAAAGGAATGGGAGTATAGCTCCGTGGTAAGAGTTTGCTTAGCATGTGTGAGGCCTGTGTTTAATCCTCAATTCTGCACAAATCAATGAAAAAGTATGCTGGCTGTGATTTTATTTGTTTGGATAATTCCTTAAAACTTAAAAGAAAAAAAAAAATCCTGAAAAGTTTCACACATATAGAAAAGTAAAAAGAGTAGTGTAGTGAAAAGTCCAATCAGAGTGAGCTTCCTTGCTCCTTTTTTTTTTTTTAAGTGCTGGAGATCCAGCCTAGTAGCTATCACTGAGCTACATGCCAAGCCCTCTTCTTCTTTTTTTAAAAAACAATTCTGCTATGGCAGAAAATGAGGAAAGTGAGAAAAAAAAAAGGGGTGTTTTGGAATACTGCCACCAGAAAGACAACAGTTTCATTCCTTGGGCCTCCCAAGAATACCTTCCAACCTATAAAAAGGTCAGAAGGGAACTTCCAGCATCCACTGTATATTTCTAGATGGGAAACGGGTCCTTCTAAAAGAAATTTCTTTTCTTCTAATGTTGTATTTTGGAAATATTCTGAAGTTGGAAAAATAGTAATTAACCTGTATCCCATCAAATTAGTTAGGAAATACTTCAGTTAAATACAGTAGAAGATAAAATGGTAGCTATTTTTATCTTAGACCATTTATGCTTGCTTCAGAAAAATATATGACACTCAGTAATATATAAAGAACAGAAATTTATTTTCCCAAGTTCTGCAGATTGGGAAGTCCAAGATAATGGGGCCTTGTTGTATCATTTCTGATACAACAAGGAGTGGAGGAAGGACAAGCTATGCAGAGGCTATGAGAAAGCATCTTTGAGGAGCCATTAATCCCTCATGGCCTTATTAGCCCATTTCTTGTACTGTCACATTGGCCATTAAGTTTTGATACCTGAATTTTGAAAGGGACACATTCAAACCATAGTACTTTGTTTGTAACCAGTACCCAGAATTAGCATTTTGCTGTTGCGGTAAATTTTTTTCCCTTGTAAGTGCTCTGTTTTTTTTTCTTTCCTTTCTTTTTGGTACTGGGGATTGAACCCAGGGATACTTTACCACTAAGCTACATCCCTAGTCCTTTCTACTTTTTTATTTTGAGATAGGGTCGCACTAAGCTGCTTAGGGATTTGCTAAGTGCTGGGGCTGCAAAATTCTCCCACCTCAGCTTTCCAAACTGCTGGGAATACAGGCATGCACCACCATACCCAGCTAGCCTCTGGTTTCTTTAATTCAGATACCACAGGTGACTTGAAGAGTGGGCCAGACTCTTCGGAGTTTGAACAAAAGTTTAAATTAATTGCTGTCTTTTGAATATTGGAAGAATTCACGTAACTTTGACATTTCCAGCTTCTCCTGAGATACTAGACTTGGTGATTTTGGCCTGTATTTTTACATGGCAGTATCAGTAGTCAGTTACTGTTCCCTCTAAAAGGGTTGCTTTCTGGCTAGGATAATCTTTGGCCTTATTAAATAATGGCCATTTACCTTTTTCTTCCTTCTTACTTCCTAACAGTCCCCATCCCCCACCTTCAATCGTATTTTTTTAAAGTGGGGAAAAAGAAAATTGTTTGTCATTCGTAGTACCTTCATTTTGTTCATCCATTTTTATGTGCTGCTGAGGATCGAACCCAGTGCCTCACACGTGCCAGGCAAGCACCCTACCAATGAGCCACAACCCCAGCTCCTCTTTTTATTTAATGATCATTTTCTGGTATATTTTCATTAGTGATCCTCAGTATTTTCTCTTTAATGCCAGTTTTTCTTTTCTGGAGGAAGATGAGGATTGCTTTTATCCTGAAGGCTCGCAAAGGGAGATACATATGTGTTGCTTTTCTGGAGGACAGAGATTGGGTGTAAGCTTAATCATAGACCTTACAGGTCATTTCCTGTCTCCTTTGGGGAAAGTGAACTAACCTTAAATTCTTAAGGTTTCATGTACATGATGTGGATATAGACATGTTTTCTGTCCTGAGTGTCCTTTCCTTGTTTTTCATCCGGTTCAGCTGTATTTTGAAGTCCCTGGGGGATAACTTCATGCTTCCAATGACTAAGTTAGATTTAACTGCTTCTGGTTCACATAACTGATTGAGTTGGGATTTGATTACACTGAGCTAGAAGTCTTCTGCTTGACTTTTCCTCTGTGTTTTTTTCCTGCATTTCTTTCTTTCTTTCTTTTTTTTTAATATTTACTTTTTAGTTGGACACAATATCTTTATTTACTTATTTTTTTTATGTGGTGCTGCGGATCGAACCCAGAGCCTTGCACATGCCAGGCGAGCACTCTACCTCAGAGCCACAACCCCAGCCCATTGTTCCTGCATTTCTAAATGTGTCTACACTTCTCTGCGATAGATTAGTTGGATAATGTTGACATCTGGGAATTTAGGATTCATTTTAAGCTAGCGAGTTTGGGTACAATGTATTTTCAAGTTCTAACTATGACAGTATCTATATTTCTTACATTTGTTTTTATAGATCTGCAGTTGAACTTTTTGAGACTTACAGCATGGCAGCAATGACTTTCAATCCTCCTGTTGAATCATCAAACCCCAAAAAGAAGGTATGTGATACTTTTCATTCAAAAAAAACAAAAACAAAAACTTGCATGTCTTTAATTATTTTAACCTTTAGCTTGCTTAATTGTTTGTAGTTTTTTTTAATGTTTTAAGAGTTGATAGTAGGATAGATGTTTAGATTTGGAATTTTATAGAGATGGTCAGTGAGACTGCTTCACTCAATATAGGATACATCTTTGACCTGACCAAACATCTTTCATTATTAAATTTTATTTGTTGGTATCAGCTGTTGCTATTTATAGCTTTGCTCACAGCTTGGGTTTTACTTAAGAGCATAAGTAACTTTTTAACTCATATTTTTAATTTTTTTTTCCAGGATAAATTTTTACAAGGAGATTCATTTTTGAATGAAGATTTAAATGAACTAGTTAAAAGACATTGTAGTGAAGTTGCTATAGAGTCACCTCTGGATTTCACCAAATATTTGAAAACATCACTACGGTAGCACAAAAATGAAGAGTCAGTGGACTTCCTTGTATATTTGTATGTGGTAAAAATAAATTGTTGACTTAGAAATATTTCTTCTTCTACAAGGAAAACTTCCCAAGAATGATTAGGAAGAGAAATAATTACTCTTTGCTTGATATAAAGCTATGCCCCAATTAAGAAAATGTTATTTCATTAAAAAAGGAAAATTGAAAACCTTCTTTTTCTCCCGATATTTGGAAGTTTCCTTCTTAATGATGCTGCCTTTTAAAAACTTAATACATATTTAGTTAGTTTTTTTTTTTTTTTTTTTGTACCAGTGATCGCATCCACTGATGCTTAACCACTGAGTTATGTCCCCAGCCCTTTTTAAAATTTTTTTATTTAGAGACATGATTTCAATAAGTTGTTGAGGGCCTAGGTTGCTGAGGCTAGCTTTGAACTTGTGATTCTCCTGTTTTAGCCTCCCAAGCTGCTGGGGCCACTGGCCCCAGCTTAAGTTACAGTTTTTAAAATAATCTTTGGGTGTGATAATGTAGCTCAGTGGTAGAATGTATGCCTCGCCTACAGGAGGCCTTGGGTTCAATCCCTAGCACCACACACATACACAAAATCTCTGAGTTAGATATTATTGAAATTTAGTTGCCATATTAAAATTAGGGCATAAAACATAGGACATTTAAGATTGAGAGTGTTTTTATCATTTAGCTACTCCCTAAAACTAAATATTTAAAAAACTAAATAAATATTATTGTTCTTGTAATACTATAGATGGAAATACAAAACATTCTAAATTTGAGTGAGTATACATTATATGCAGATTTTTGAGGAAAGAGAAAAAAATAGCTTGAAATTGGACTTAGGTTCATTGGCTCACTTCAAGAAGTCACCTAATTTGGTCTTTTATAAAAAGGATGAGTGTTTTTTATGGCTACTTTCAAAAGAAGTTTGAATGTGATTCTAGTATCTTTGAAGTTCTATGTGTTTCCTGACATGCCCTGGAGGCTGTTAGGGGAAGAACTGCTCTAGGAGGGAAGAACCCAGCCCAAGAATTTCCCATCTTGTTTTAGGGACAAAGGGAATCCAGCAAAAGGCCTTCCTAATTTTTTTTAAAAAATACAGGTAAAATATGTATATATACATATATACATAAGTATTTTTTAGTTGTAGGTAGACACAGTCACCTTTATTTCATTTTTATGTGGTGCCAAGGATCAAACTCAGTGTTTCACACATGCTAGGCAAGTGCTCTATTGCTGAGCTGCAACCCCAGGCCAAAATGTATATTCTTAATGAATATAACTATAAAACAGTATTTTATGTAACAGCAATTGTTAGTTATTGTCATATTCTAACAACAGTTTATGAAATATGTTTCAATGGCCAGGGAAATATTTTCTACTGTTAATAGTTGAATACATAGCTGCTTTCTCTGTTTCCTGTTTTTGATGTGAGAATTTTTTTAAAAAAGGATACTAGTCTAACTAAGTAGATCTCTCATTGCTTCATAACCATATTCAGAACCATAAAAACTAGTTACTTTGGTGTGGAACTTAGAGTTTCTTTCTTATGAAATAAATAAAAATTGAAAAATTCCCTTATCATTCCAGCAGTGGGAGTGTGGATATCAGTTTAACTGTGCATGTCAGTCTTCCCCACCAATCCCACCCACCCCAGGATGGGGATTGAGCCCAGCGCCTCAAACATGCTAGGCAAGTGCCCTACCACTGAGCCACAACCCCAGCCCCCATGTCCAGCCCTTTTAAAATTTTATTTTGTGCTAGGGTCTCATTAATTTGGTAGGCTGGGCTTGAACTTGTAGTCCTCCTGTCTCAGCCTCATGAATAACTGGGATCAGATGTGGGCCACCACACCCTGTTTTGTTTTCAAATAAGTCTTTTCTTTATATGTGATTTGAAAAGTATTTCTTTTTTTTTTTTAAATGTTTTAGTTGTAGTCAGACACAATACCTATATTTCACTTATTTATTTTTGTGTGGTGCTGAGGATCGAACCCAGGGTTTTGCACGTGCGAGGTGAAAGGTCTCCCACTGAGCCACAACCCCAACCCCTTGAAAGGTATTTCTGAGGTCACATTTCAAAGGCTTGATTGTTAAGGATAAAAAAGGTATGTTTTAGCATATAAATATTTACTTATAACCTCCATTTAGATATAAATGAATAACAAAGAATATTATATTATAAATATTTCTGTGAATAAACAGGGTTTCTGTCCTTATCAGAGCACAAGTGACCAATACACATCAAACTATTTTCCAAACATATACAAATATAGGGGCTAGGGTTGTGGCTCAGTGGTAGCACACTTGTCTGGCATGTGTGAGGCACTGGGTTGGATTCTCACAACCATATATAAATAAATGAATGAATGGATGAATAAAGTTAAAAAATGTCAAATACATTTTTGTTTGACTTTGGCAGCAAAAACTGTAATTTAGGTGAAAAATCAGTTTTAGAGCAGGAATTCAATGGCTTTTTCAAGCTTGCATTATGCTTTTAACTTTTCTTGTTTATGTATTTATATAGTGAGTCACAGATCATTGTATATCTAGTATTTAAATATCTTGTATGAATATGGGTATGAAATATATTTGTGCATAAATTTGTCAATGAGTTTCATTTTTTGAAGATAAGTGTCATAGTCAGTAGTCATACACTCACCTAAGCTACCACCTTTTTTTTTTTTTTAATAAAACCGAGCGCTTACTGTGTGCTTAGTATTATACTAGATGTTAAGAAATAAGGTGAGCTAATAATAGGCACAAGACAGACTGATTCTTCTATTACTTTTCATGCTGAGTCAAGTCATTTGCATAATACTTTTTAAAAAATGCAGCATTACCCAATTCTGTGTCAAAATAAGTTATTTAATGCCTGTGTCATTTGAAATAAGAATGGTCTCAGAGCTGTTTGATGGCAGGCTTGAGCATAGTATGTTTTGAATCCAAGAGACTTAAGAATGTTTTAATAATCATGGAGATTCAGGGTGTTTTTCAAAACTATTTCAGGTGTTCATAGGTCAAAATCCTTAGCCATCTGCCAAAGTTTGTTTTTAAGTAGTTGATACATAAAGATAGCAGAGAACACATAAATTTTCTATGGATCATGGAGATGTTGGCCTAAGTCTGAACTTTGTCCAAGAAGTAGTCTCCCTTTTCTCTCTCTCTCTCTCTCTCTCGCTGTCTCTTTTTTTTTTTTTGAGTACTGGGGATAGAACTCGGGCACTCAACTACTGAGCCTCATCCCTAAGCCCTATTTTGTATTTAAATATTTAGAAAAGACAGGGTCTCACTGAATTGCTTACGGCCTCGCAAAGTTGCTGAGGCTGGCTTTGAACTTGCAATCCTTCTGCCTCAGCCTCACAAGCTGTTGAGATTACAGGCATATGCCACCACACCTGGCCCTTTTCTCTTTGATAACTTTTTTTGGGCTCTTGTCCTTAGTGCTGATGCAAAAAAAGCAACCGAAAAGGGGTAGAGACTGCCACCTTGAGAGCACTTTTCCAGTAGGTTGCCTTACTCTGCCAAGACAAATACCAGCCAGGAAAATTGTACTCTTCATTGGTTTGGGAACACAATTGTGGAGCTTTGTGTTTTAGAGTTAATGAACCAGTAAGCAAGTCCTGATTCCTTTTAAGCATCAAGCAAGGCCTGTGGTATCTGAGCAGAAGAAAGGTCTATAGAGATATTAGAAAGAGTAGAGAACAGTGAAGGAGGAAGATATAGTTACAAAAGGGAAACTGGTATATATCAAAAGAGGTCCACTTTCACTCATGACCCTACAGTGTCTTCAGAGCATCAAGATGGGAGCTCTTTATGAAATCAAGCCTTAATTAAAAACAAGGCACTTGTAACTGCACTTTTGTTTACTCCGGACTCCATATTTATCCCTAACTGGAGAAAGAATTTGTAAATAGCTTACATGTGCTATGGATGACACGTGAAGAGGCTTTTGCTCAAAAGGACACTTTATGCCCAGATAGTATTTCTACTCCCTGCAAATTTATTCCCTACTCTCCCTAATTCCTTAACACCCTCTAGGAATCTTACATTTTCTTACAAAATAACCAGTTCCAAATGAATAGGTGACTAAGAAGAAGATTATCTCACTTCTAGCATCATAGGGCACACTAAGTTCTTTCTTAAATCCTTTATTACCAACTTTTTTTAATATTTATTTTTTAGTTATAGGTGGACACAAATCTTGATTTTATTTTTATGTGGTATTGAGGATCAAACCCAGGGCCTTGTGCGTACTAGGCAAGCACTCTACCTCTGAGCCACAATCCCAGCCCCAATTACCAATTTTTTTAAGTTGGCACCTAACAGTGACAGAATTCTTTTCACTTTTAGTGAAGTTTTTAAAAATATTGTAATAAACCCAGCTTTCATATCTATATTCCTTTCCATATCAACTTTACTGATAAGAGTTTGCTACCCAGACTTCTTGTAGCCTAAGTATAAAATTGTAGTGGGTATAGTTCTAGTGGTGATTTTAGATGCATTCTGAATAATGTGATAATTTATTTCATTTAGTATACTGATATAGTTGTATAATTCACACATGCCTTTTTTTCTTTCTTTTTTTAATGTGATACAGATTGAACCCAGGGCCTTATGTATGCTCTACAAGTACTTTACCACTGAGCTGCATCCCTAACCCTAGCTGTATAATTCAGATAAGATTTAAATAAAAATTACATATTTCTGACAAATATCAGGTTGTACTAGTCCATTATAATGCAGTTATATACCTCATATAGACATTTTGGTCAATGATGGACCATTGTGTGGGTGTCATGTGATATGATAGTGGTTCCATAAGGTTATAGTGGAGTTAAAAATTCCTATTGCCTAGTGCCATCTTAGTTTGTATAAGTACACTCTGATGTTTGCACAATGATGAAATCACCTAACAATGCATTTCTTGGAATTTAACCCCATTGTTAAGTGACACATGACTGTAGTAGAGTAGGCCCTTTACATTTTAAGCAGTCTGTCCTTTATAAAGTCCCAGAGACTCAAATTATAAGACAATATGTACCTTAACCTCAAGATGGAATACCCAACCAGGTTGGGATGCAACACAGAGAATAGACTGGATTTTCTACTTGCTAGATAACGCAGTCTCTAATTGAGTCTTAGGGTTAAGTTTCAGATTTGCTGTAACCAAATCAACAATTATGCTAAAGGCCATTTG